ACTTACATCATATTTCCATCAAATTTACAACCTTTATGGCGCGCGATTTTTTCCAGTGCATAATAGGGACATGAGAGCCTTCTATGTGTACATCTACGCCGTGTACATGCACGACCATATATGGAAGTCGTATGACAGATCCCTCTCAAGTTGTTCCACGGGTTAACGAAAACCGTAGAGAGTTTAAGCATGACGTTCACGGCAAAGGGCAAAAAATATCACATGACCTGCTTTTTGGGGGTTTGCCGTTACAGTTTCGACGCGAAAGTGGGTTATTTTGAGTTTGTCATAATCGTGAAAAGTCGCTCTTTCAAATGTCTACCAAAAGCACAAGGTCAGGCACGAAATTCTTAGGACATTGGTTCAGCTTTGCCGTTAGCCGTTTGCCATAAACGTGATGCTTAAACTCTCTAAATAAGTGTGATTCACCGAAGAGAGAAATGATAACGTGTAAAATAAAGAGTAATAGACTGCTGTAGTACGCTAAAATGTTTTTCACGAATTAGGTAGTAGTTATTAATTCTTGTTTCAAGAATTTCGTGATTTCATCACAAATGGCTTATATAACAAATAACTGACAGCCATCTTAGATATGAACTAAAACTTCCAGCGCCCACTTTGTTCCATTTCCTGACGAGTATCCGGCACAAATCTGTGTTATCATGAAATTTTTTAAAAACGGGTTGCAAGTGAGCCGACATGGCTACTGATTATTGCTTGTACTTTTCAAAGGTATAAACCAACCAAGCTACTTACTGAGCAGTGAGTTTGCCACGTTTGAAAGAGAACTTCATGTAAGCAAATGCACCATTCTTGTATGCAAATGTGTGCCCATCGTCAATGTAGAGATCTCCTTCAGCTTCGCCCTAGTAACACATGACAAACATGAYTGATCTTAAASGCCCAGTTTACACCATTATGTTTTGCSCGCCTCTGTTATTGTTATGATTTACACCAAAATACTTCTAGTATCCAAATATCACCATAAAACGAATGTCAGATGGTTGAAAACTTTAATATTAGCGTTTTAAAGCGCTTAGGAAAGTGAGATGGTCAAAGATTCGAAACGTACAGTACAATTTATAGACTTTCTGCAGATTCTCTGTAAACTGAAAATGGCCGCCTCCAGGCCCTCGCGGCCCCCAAAGCATAATGGTGCATACTGGGCCTTTAAAGTTTAGTTTAAATGAATTTATGTGAGTAGTACATTGACTGATCTACCTTGGTATCTAGCGCCATAGTCAGTGTATAAGGATCATCACGTGTCAGACTGGAGCAGCGACGTACACGGTTTTTACGAGGAATGATTGAACCACCTCTTTGGAAGACAGGAATCTGAATACAATATCAGTACAGTAATCAATTTATGAACGAGGTTTTATTTCATCTCAATGTTAGACTCGACCTCAGTATCCAACAATTTTCTATGTGTGTCTTATGTCAAGGCTACCGATTGTACTTACGTATTAGGGCCAGTCAGAAAGGGAGGTTAAGTTACGTATTAGGGCCAGTCAGAAAGGGAAGTTAAGTTACGTAGTCGTATTAGGGCCAGTCAGAAAGGGAGGTTAAGTTACGTATTAGGGCCAGTCAGAAAGGGAAGTTAAGTTACGTAGTTATCTTCATTCAGGTATAAAATTAGAAAAAAGTAAAAATTATACGTTTTTATTAATTTAGAAAAAAACATAATACCCTGMAAKCAGAGGATTTTTCTACCCCCWACTAGCCTGRGTAGMGGCCCTTAAGGGATTTCYCCGCTCGGCTGTCCCTCTCCAATCCCCTTAAGGCCGCTACGCAGGCTAACCCCCGACTGAAGAAAAGGGCAAGAAGGTGATGGAAAACAAGTCAGCTATCGTGTGCTGAAAAGAAATATTGAAAGCTGTGATGGTGCTATCTGCTTCAGTCTGTATAGTCATTCTTTATATCACACTTAATTGTATTGCCACTATGTTTACCTTATCTAATTGTGCTTCTACTTGAACATTATTGGCACCACGATAGATCTTGTTAGTGTCCAAGTGATACCAGTACTGTAACAATAAACCAATCACACTTARCTAGTACCTACATAGKTAACTGCCTGTAGCTAYATGTGTTTATATTGAACAATCGGAAGMAATGGCGCCCCGCCCCTAGACTATACATTATAAACAGGTGGAGTGGAATAAGTTCATTGTTCAAGTCAACTCCATTCAACCATTAGAAAACAGYGTTTGCTTGATCTGAGCACTGCTTACCTCTTCATTGCCTGGTAAGTATAATTCCTGTGACACTTGACCTGCACTCGTTACTGGTTTGACCAACAGGTCGGCACCTTAGGAATTCAATGAGATAAGTAAAGCACAGCTTACAAACAAACACACAAAACACCACAACTAACAAACATGGTGTTACACACTTGTCAATACAGTTTTTAGTAAAGAACGAAAGTGATCTTCGCGATTTTTTGCCCCACGACTTGTGCACGAGAGGATAAAAAAGTCAATGAACAATGGCAATGCAAAATATGATCTTGCTTACCAACAAGAAACTCATCTTCCATGTTGAACGTTGATTTGTCAGCAGGATATTCAACCCATAATGGTCTACAAAATGACAATAAATCAATTGTTAATCAGCGACCAAATCATGAATCAACCACATGGACAAACAGCGGTCTACAATGAATATATGAAAGACACCAAAATATCCACACCCTAAAGGTGTTGTTATACTGTGTAAYTTCCTCAATAACTTGAAACATTTATTAGCCGAGGTAAACCGTACTTTAAGAAATTACTATGTACAAACAACAACAAAAAGAAAAACTTATACATAACTAAGATTAGAAGTGACACAAAATATTTATACCTAAAGTCTAAAACGCACATATTCTAATTGCATATATTAATAATTTAGTTTATTTAGTTCACTAGTATACTGGGACCCTAGACCTAAAAACCAATTACCGTTCAATACCTTACAATGGGAGTGCCTTCATTATAGGCATGAAAGAAGAGTGTATACCAATATGGAANTAGATGAGAATAAGTAGATTTCATCTTTAAGGATATGTGCTTGGGTTGCAAAATAGAGATATCAGTTGAAGTTAACACCAAAGGGGATTTTGATTACTAATAAGTTCAATGTGAATAAACATCATATCAACCGTAGACAAGGTCATTTAATTCAGTCAGGCAATCTGAAATACTCTTATCCTCACAATATTTGCTTCTTAAAGCTCCCTTCTGGACTTAGCTTTGATAATCCCGACTACATGTACGTGTTTTTCATTTAGTTGTATATCAAATACGATTGATTCTTACAGTTTGGATTATATCTCTCAAGGGAAAGGGGCATTATTTGACAAAAATTCATTGATAATAAGGAACAGTAGCAGCTCTAATGGCTTACCACCAGCAAATGGAAGTCCTGCAATACTTATGCTGAGCACCATAGGTAAAGATGCCTTCAGATGGTCCCACATCACGATGGTCCACATCACGATGTTCCCAGTTGTCAAAGTGGATGGCATCTTTATGCATGGTTATCTCTGGACCATGGAACACTGATGGCTAYAACAAAATCGCGTTTCAAAAATACAAGTTGAGCAATATACAGACTAATATGTCAATATTATGTTAAAACTGGTTTCCATATGAGGCAGATGAAGTAGAGCAACTTAACATTTTTATAAGCAAAATCAGCAACAAAAGATTGAAATGTTGCCAAATTCAAAATGATAACCATCATTTCATTTTCTTTCCAGGGAGATTGTTGTGGTTATTGCTTTATAATTCAGGTTCTCACTTCATAAATTTCAATTTATCCAAAGTGTTGGGATAAGAGAAAACAGAAAGGAAAACTTTCCATTCATTCCATTGTCTCATTCAGGGTGTTTCTAATTCCAACTGAAGTGACCAGGTTTTAGCATTCACAATATTATAACAAACATATAATCATATGGAAAAGTAATTCATGGTGTGCTGTTCACATGGACTATAAACTGAGTTACTAATCTCAGGTATCATGCCATGCATCAACTCCAATGAAGTCAAATACAATCAATGACCATCAATCATTGTCACTTCACAAACCTCATTCATGTCATTCCATATAAACAGTGAGTTGGTGGATCCCTTGAAAAAAAGTACTGTATTATTAATCATATCATGGACACATAATATATTTTTAATAATGGTAATAATATAGTACTGGATGTAGGTCTAATGATGATACAATGATGACAATGCTAGTGATATCTAATGGTAGTGCATCAGTAATCTCATGTAGWATGTCATGCACCAAGCAGGTGACTCCACAATCTTTTATCATCACTTGCACCACTTCTTAGCAATAAAAACTACAAATAAATGTACCTTGTACTTGTCAAGAGCAAACTGATCAGACCACCAGTCTCTGTACTCAGGATTAGTGAAGTCAATCCATGACGACTGACCTGGAACAGAAATATTCCAGTTGATGACTGTCCTCTTTGATGAAAATGATGATATGAAATAATAATGATAATAATGGGAAATGCATTCTGGGTACAGCATAAGCCCCAGAAATCTGAAGTGTCTTTTTGTCTTTATGTCTGCTGTAATGATGTTGGTATAATAAAGATAAAAGAATTGTTATTTACCAGGCCAACACCAGTTCTCATACTGTCCACCATCTTTATTCTTGATGTAAAGACCAAGACGAGATGCTTCCTTCAAATATTAACAAAGCAGTTTCCTTTTTACTCAAGTGATGAAAACATTTATATTTGCACTTTGAAATTAAAAATTGTGATCAGGCTGATGTATTCATAGCTTTCATTGGCATAGAGACAAACAACACATGATTGCCGCCAATCAAAAATGGTGGCTTTGGTTTGAAAGCAACTTAATGCAAGATCAAAGCCATTTAGTTGATTGACAACAGTCTATTTGCTATTTGAACATTGTAACTTATACATCTTGATTGATTACCATAGCAATGCAATAATGGAAATGATGAATTTGAGTTTTGGAAATCATTGGAGACAAAAGAATGAAAAACCATAAATCTAAAATAATAATGTAAGCTTTAAAAACCTCATATATAATTAATGAGTTATTAGGCCAATAGAATGAGCCTATTTGGTCACATGCATGGACATTTATATCTKATAAAACACTTATTATTAGTATTCTTAATATAAAGAATACTAATAAGGGTGACCTTTATCAGATATAAAGATTTATGACCCTAGCAAAGGTCTCAGGTTTGATACTTGATCATTGACCAATGCAGGATGTCAACCGATTGCAGTAAAACAGCCATTAGCACTTCTATTTTACTTAATGCGTATTCAATGTGGGATAACAAGAGTGCTTTGTAAAGTGATTCGTGCATGATTAGTTTGCCCCATTTATTATCTCAAAACTTATGTTAACGGCAATTTCTCTAAGAATTTAAATGGCTTTGAATTTCAAGTTAGTGTTGGAGTGTTTAAGCCCTTTAAAACACTCTCTCTCGTGTYTTAAATTAATACATAATAACCATTTCATGAACCTACCTCATGTATGTGATAACCACTTTCACGTTTGATGTGAGGGTCCACTATGGTCACCATCTGAAAGTACAATCATGATAAAACTTAAAATAATACTTAGTGCTACTGTAAGTGATGGAGTACAAAGTTGATGCATCAGAAATCTCATGTAGAAGATCACTGTATATTCTCACTAATGTTATTTTCATCATCTGCACCTTATAACCAAAAAAAAGCAAATCCACATCAAGCTCAACTAGAAACTTTTTCAGTCTCAACTGAACATATTTTTGTAATTAAAATAGTTTTTTTTTTCACACATAATTACCTTTCTTCCTTTGRCTGCCAAGTTGTTCTGCATGATATCTGGTGTAGGAAACTTCACACTATCCCATGTCATATATCTAGGGAAATTCCAAATTAATGCAAATATAAAATATATATAAACACCACAAAAGATGGCAAGATGGCAAGCAAAGACCATGATGTATCAGGTTGGGACTAMTGACTGGAAAACAATATAGTCCTTTACTTAAATAATATAAACCATATTAACATAATAAAATATGACAAGTAACCATAAAGTAATGAGAAATAAAATTAATGAGAAACAAAATTATGATAAACACACATCAAGAAAACAAACCAATAAATAAAGCAATGTTGGGTTACTTTTTGCCATCTGTATGTTCAATATCCAGCCACAAGACGTCATAGGGAATGTCATGGTCATCAAAACCAGCATCAACACTATCAACAAACAAGAGGCAACAATGAACCTTCCTTCCCTTACATTCATTGCTACATCTAATAGTTTCATTTGAATAATTCTAAGGTTTGAGTGAAAAAACATACTCAGAGATTCCCAAGTCTTTACATATTCAAATGTGCAAGAAGATAAATTTAAAACTGCAAAAATAGGTGTAATAACTTACCGATGTTTCGGATGTTAATCCTTTGTCAGGGTAAAGAGAAATATTTTTTTACAGTGTAAAATTTATCTTTTTACACAACTGTTTCTTTAGAAACACCCACCATTTACATTTATTTAGTAATAAAATAAAACAAATCCCTTTTAAAAGACTTTTTTTACATTCAACATTGTTCACTGTGTAACAACATTTGTTATACAGTGATAAAATGTTCTATCATACTATACATTTAATATTATACATACTTTTTGACATCTTCTTCATCATTATAGTTCCATCTGCACTGATGATAGCTAATGCCAAACAGCTGTTCAAAATAGAATGACAAGTCATAGTTAGTAGACAAATAAATATTGCAAAACAATGATGTTTAAGGGCAACGTATCTCAAAATCCTGTAGACAACGACACTCTTGATGCAACATGATTCTATTTGAAAAAAAATATGTCTATATTGCACCATGACTCCAACAAATGATGGCACTATAGTTCACTCATAGGTGACCAGTTAAGTTGGTACATATTATTTATATGATTGGTGATTATGATCATGACAATATCCACGTAATTTACTCACAGGAGGAAGAGACGTTGTACCAGTTAAAGTGGCATATTGTTTGAACASATCATGTGGCTTTGGGCCAAGCATAACAAACACATCAATAATTCCACTCTCTGAAAACCAATGAGTCTCCACCTGAGGGACTTCTTCTTCAGCCTTGAAAAATGACATCAGGGAATTTAACATGGACTAAAAGAGGAAAGAACCATGGAAACAAAATTCAGCAAGAAAAGAAATGACATAAAGATGGTATTGCTGTGCTAAAGAATGTTGCTGCAATGGAACCATGTTTGGACATAGACACTGGTAAAAATAAAGGGAACATCTGTATCTCTGTATCTGTAATATTTGAATTGTATTTTTATGGTTGGGTATTCAAGTCCAGAATCCAACTACATTGTACATGTATTTCATTTTAGATGATTCATTGATTGAAAGTGTCTACTGTAACTATGGCATTGAGGGCAGTGTAAACATGTTTGGGATTCCTGTGGACACAACAGAAACTTAACACTGCACCCATACCTTGCGTGCATCTGCTGTTGTGATGTCAACCCAAGTTTCTGCAGCATTCATCCAAAACACTCCAACAGTTTTACTGACWCTAACAGGGAAAAGAAAWGGGTTTTCAACATTGCACTATGAATGAAGGCAAAAACAAAGGATAAAAATGAAARAGAATATGTACCTGTGTGCTACCATGACTGGTATAGACCCATACAAAGCCATAYGAGAATCTAATTCATACTCAAACACATCAAGATTGTACAGCCRATAGGGTTCGGCACCACTGTAATATAATTATAATTAACATTTTCTATTAATTTGTTTGTATATCAATGTGCTGATACTTTTGAATAATTTAAATGAGGCTATAAAATGCAAAGCATGGTTGCCAGCGACTATAGGCTTGCTTGCTAGCATTCCTTTGATTTCCTTTGGTTTCCATTTTGACAGAAACCAGATGAGTTTAATCATTAATAACATTATTTTATTTCTGAGATGCTTACATGGTGTTTTTAAGTGCCAAGGTRTCAGCATGTTCTGGAATACCATAAACATGCTCAATGCCAGGAAATGAGATATCCATACCAACTGAACTAGGACCTGGAAAATATAAACTCTGAGTGAGACCAAACTACATCATGATCATAAAGCAACTGATTGACAGGATCAATCAATCGATCCATCAACCAATCCATCTATCTACAGTTGTATAGATCAATCAAAACATACTAACTAGGACAGGCAAACAAATACAAACAAGAGGAGAAAATGTATTTCTCTTGTAACGGTTACGAACGTAGTGAGTGTGAGTGGAGAGAAAAATAATTTCCTTGGTGACGTAAGGACTGGGCACTAGTGTGCACGTGACGTTATGTAAATAGGAGCTGTGTATATAAGGATGAAGTGATTTTATTTAGACTATTGTGGTCTAAGTTCGTGTTCATAACTCATTTTGTGAAATAATGTCTTATTTTATTTTATCATATCAAATGTACATTAGGCTTATTCAGAGAGTGGACAGGGTGAAGAAGATCATGTTGTTATGTAGGGGAGGTTTTTTGCAATAAAGAATATTGGTTGYGGGCTTAGACCGACCACCGCATACTGTGCACTTGTTGTTGTAAGGAAACTGGGACTGTAGGAGTACTAGGAATAGTAGATGTAAACTCTCTGAAAAAGTAAGCYAGGAACTTCCAGTCAAACAAACCTCTGGGTTTAGAGTCATGATGGTCCTTGAATTGTTCTTCCCACATCCCTTCTTCCTCTTTATTTTCTTCTTTATTTTCTTCTTCCTGTTACCATAARCACAGCGAAAAAAATAATCTGATTAAGAATTTCACATGTCCAGTCTTGTGTGTCGAGAAGATAACCAATGCATATATTAAGAATAAGAATAAATTAAAAGAAAATGGAAAACAAAGTGTAAAATGGATTCTGTTCAAGTTGATTTATTTTACTATCATCAAGTTTATTATTAATAGCAATAAAAAACACTTGTTTGCCTTTTTTTGTCCATCTTCAGACTTTTCTTCAMTATCAATAGATTCAGGTCCTGGTGGAGCTGGAGCTTGTGCTTCTTCATGGTTTGGTTTTGAGTTTCTAAATCAATAATACTGTCGTTCAACAGACCAACTTGTTCAATTGACCTCTTAGTAGCTAAAACCAAAGCGAGCAACAGCCCTCAATTGAACAAGAGTGCCAAGTTATGTCAAAATTGTTACTTTTTCACCAACAAAAATTATTTTCCTTACAGTGCAAGCTCAAAAAGGACAACTTTTAAACTGTTGCCAATTCTGCCTCACTTTGGCGCAAAATGACAAGCCCCTCACATTTCTTGTTTTCTAACTGCAAAAAGGGGTATTAGAGCTAATCCTTGGATAACAATGGAATTAATCCTGCATTAATTTGGACTTTGAACAGCCAAGTCTACATGTATATCTCTAATTTCAGGGAAGAACATTAATACTGCATATAGCTGTATTGTCATGGGGAGATACTGTTATCAGAGATTTCATTAAATTTGGAAGTAGATTGCTGTTCTAAAAATGTAACTACTACATCAAAGCATCTCAAGGGAGGCATAGGGGAGTGTAGGAATCTGCAAGTATGACAAGAAAAAAAATTAAAAAGCTCCTCAAATCTGCATTTTTTATGTTTTGATAAGTAAATTTGCAATATAAAATATTGAAAATCATAAAATCCAAACTTGGTAAAAAAATTGGCCAAACCAAAAATCACCATTTCCCCCTCCATCTCCAATACTCACATCTTTTCTCTGTAGTGCTCAAAGTTCATGAGTCCTTTAGAATTGACTGAAACAGCTACTTGATTCTCTACCATAAAATCAAGTCTAAATGGTTCATATGTCAGTACTATACTGCTAGCATGATTAAATGATATATGGACTCCAGAATCATCTTGCTGCACTTGTTGATATCTAAATTGTATCAAAATAACAACAATGTATCAATTCAGTTACGTTTAGTACAAGGGTGAAGGACAGCAATATAAACAATAAATAGAGAAATATGAACACATA